ATCAGGTGACCCATCTGCTAGTTTGTCGCGCTTTACCATTAATTAGGAACTGCTATATCAATAAACAAACTCATATTTCATTCTAAACCTGAAAGTTTCTAAAATCCCTTGATCTATACTAATATTATAAAGAGGTAAAATTTGTAAGTTTTTAGTTTGTATGTTTTTAAGTTTGTATGTAGGGGGTAATCTTTGGAACCGGTGGTCGGATTGGCCTAATTCTTTTACTGATGTTCAATGCTAGCTACAATGTTCCTGAATGCAAGGCTATGAAATATCACGCTACGATCAAATGGAGCTGAGCAGCGGGTGAAACCGCGCGAGAGTAGCTGCTCGTCTTTATAGATATTCGAATATTTACCATTGTATTACTTATTTCTTTTTTAGGGACAAGTCCACCAATACCTTTCAAGACGCTGCAATTCCTGTAAGAAGCAACGAAATAAATCTGAAGATATTATAGCCTAGTGGTGATGTAGGAAACAATTTTATCTCTAATCCCATCCTCAATCCTCAAATCCCCTATCCTTAAATCCCCATTAACCCACAAGAGGTCGGCAACGTACTTGTTGGCGGCGCTGATTGCTTATCGGGTAATCTGTCAGCTACATAGTTTGCCGACTAATGATATGAAATTAAAATACTTCTAGCAGTTGAACAGAATTTGACAAAATGCATTGTTCTCTTTAATAAGACAGCTGCGCATCTATTGGGTAACCAATACACGACACGTCCGGACTTAACCGACTAGTAGCAGGTTCTATATGGACTCGGATTTCCGCTATCGATTAATCCTCTCTATAAAAGTGGTATTTGATTTCATTATGTCACAGGTCGATCAAAATGGCAAGCCGTATAAAAGATTGCTACTACAAAGACAATTGGGTAGTTTCCTATGTCAAAAATACATTAATTAAACAACAAAAAAACTTATTTGCGTTATCCTAAGTCGGACACAATCTAAAATTTTATTCGCTATAGGGCTGTTTTTTCAATAGTCGATAAGTGTTGTCTGAGGAATAAAATTGTTGCTGTCACTGTCTTATACAAACATTGTGACGCGACAGCATCATATTAATGCCCCAGGTAACTTTTGAGTTATTGTAAACGGATTTTGTTTTATAAGTCATAGTTATGTACATTTTCCAAAATATAGGAACATTCAGTATGGCCGCCGTATCTTGGCGAGTCTGAAGTTAGCCGTTTGTCTGCGCAATGGATCTTTTAGGAACAAAATTGTGTACTGCGCAGCTAATCGGCTAACTTCAGACTCGCCAAGATACGTCGGCGGTATTGTAGAGCCCGGACATTGACGAAGTGACCATAAAATCCAATTTCAAAAGAATTACAAAATGAAATCTTTATCGGGCACAACACAACGTAAAAACTGGACATGCAATAAAGCAATTAGACAGACCGAGTTATCGATGTGCATATCAATCGATTCAATATAAATCGAGAAGTGTTCTAATAAAAAATCGATTTCAATTGTTTCTTAGCGTGATCCGAGATCGGCAATCGGCCGACAACATAGTTCCTAACATTACTCATATCGGAAATCGAATGAAAAATTATTGTTATTACAAAATTTCTTCTCTTAGTTTTTCACACTCTATTTCCTTGTGATACGGTCTAGTTTGCAGTTGTTGTTTTGCACTTATACTCTTTTGGTACCAGGTCGTTAGTTTTGAGGAAATGTTATGAATAAGTTTTGTAGGAATTTGGATTTTATTGTTTTTTTTTAGGTTTTGAGTTGCTTATGTAACTAATGAATAAACTAAATAGTTTTCGATTTGGGCAAAATTGTTATAGGTACTTACTTAGAGCTGATTTTTCAATGGTTAGATAAAAGTTATCTGGGGAATAATTATGATGCTGTCGCGTCAGAATGTTCGTATAAGACAGTGACAGCAACAATTTTATTCCACAGATAACTTGTATCTGAATCTGTTTTTTTTATTTTATTTCAAACCGTATATGTATAATTGTGTGCTGTCAATAAGTGGAAACTAAATCGTACGACTAAGAAGGTTTACATATAAAGAAGTTTGAATAATGGTAAAGTGAGTCGGTTACGCTTTCATACCTAAATTACTGAACCGATTTTGATGACTTTAGCACAAATATTAGTAGCCTTCTTCTTAAAAGTATAATTCAAGTGTCCAAACAAAATCATAAAATAACCAATTAATCGATTACCTTATATTTTCTTCACGATAATAAACAGGGAAAAGTTTGCTAGAAAGCAAATTATATTTAAATATATCCAGTTCGAATTTAGAACTTACGTCACCTATCATTAAGGTGCAAACTGCAAAGAATGAAAGAGAGGACTGATAAATCAATTCGATACAATACAAATAAAATAGGGTGTTTATGTAAAATGGGGGGCAGGAAACATGCAATGATTTCTCTAGCCGTGGGTAGGGTGAGAGGAAGATCCAGACTTTTATTGGCTTGAAACCACCCTGTTGCTTTTCTTTGTGATAATATTGGGTTTTGCAGTATCCACATCCTCAACCCTGGTCTCAAGAAAAGAGGTTGACGTCAGTCTTAGCATCTGATAATAGGAGAATGAGAAAGACAAATACGACTTTAACTAAAATGGAATAAAAATAGAAGAAATGTAATACATAGAACTAAAAAACCCACGTTTTTTTAAGTCATAGGTAAAGGTAGGCAAATGAGCCGACGGATTATCTGATGGTAAGCAATTAGCGGCGCCCATGGACATTCGTAATACCAAAGGACGTACTACAAGTGCATTTGAGGATTGAGGATGGAGGGAGGGAACCTCACTCACACATCGAAACATAACGTAAGTATTGCTTGCTTCTGAAGTCAAGAAGCATTGAATTACAATGGCAATCAGGGAAATCGATTTTAGTCAGTCAATTTTCGTCAAACCATCGATAACTAATTACTCAGTCTGTTCTAGCGTGAATCGAGTATTGTGTAATCAGTGTCTTAGTGTCTATTTAGGCAATACCTGAATTTCAGTTTAGGTATAGAGTCAGGTTAAAATATAGAAAGCCTTGAGCAAGCGTAGTGACTTTTTTCAAGGAATAAGTCGGCAAATGAGTTGACGGATTACCTGATGGTAACCTATCGGTGCCATGGATATCTGAGGAGTTACGAGTGCGTTGCTGACCTTTTGGGGATTACGGTTACGGAGATTTAGGGGTTGGGGAGTGATGCCTCCGGTTACCTAACTCACACGGCGAAACATAACGTATAAAGAGTTGTTTCGTATCGTAAACTTGGACTCATACAATTGGGTAGTTTCCTAGGTCGAAAATAAATAAATTCGACGTTTTAATACAATAAAATATTGAAAAATAACTATACTTTTATTCATCGATCGATCGATACACTAAGTTTTAGATATTTTTTAACTATTTTTTTAAAAATAAGTAAGCTATTTGACGCAAAAATGCTATGACGTCATAATTCAATGTTTCATACAATTTTCATAGAAAAGTATCGTTTTTGACATTTGGATAAAAGTATTGAATTTGACTAGTTGGAAACAACCGTATTATTTGAACCTATTTTTGACATTTCTTCTCCGTGTGAGAAGTGTTGTTTTTGTTTAGCAAATGGCACTTTTAGGCTGATGATGATGATAATTATTGTAGAAGTCTCAAAATCCAATTTTGTATGTTGACGTGCTTAGCTTTTTGACACGTTTCGTAGGTTTGTTACTTAATTAACTATACTTTGGAACGAGCAAACAGCTCCACTAAAGGACATACTGACAGACTAACACATAATAACTTGGGGTCAGTCTATCGGTCTGTACGTCGTACTTTACATACGTATTTATTTTTTATATGGTCTATTAATCTATTCGAAATAAATGATTTAAATTTGACTTTATGTCAACATTTTAGCAACTTTTTTGACGAATAACCAGGCTATATGTGATGGTTTTAGCCGAGATAAGTAATTCTTAAGTGATATTTTATTCGTAAAACAAATTTACATCCCTCTGCGTATCTTACATCCTTTCAAAAGCACAATACCTTTGTTTAAGGGGAGGAAAATTATCCCAGTACATAACTTCTTCCTCCTTGAGTAAGAAGGAGTTACTTTGATGACTTGTTGACTAATAAAAACCACCCCGCGTTCCTTCTACTTAAAGCATCGGTGCGGGACACCGAGATAAATACCTAACGATAAATATCACTATTATATCTAATAACTAGCTACACTCGCGCGGTTTCACCCGCTGCTCAGCTCCATTTGATCGTAGCGTAATGTTTTATAGCCAATAGCACTCAGGAACATTGTAGCTATCTATCAGTGAAAGAATTTTGGCAATCCGACCAGCGGTTCCAAAGATTGCCCCCTACATACAAACTTAGAAATTTTACCTCTTTTTAATATTAGTAGGTATAGATAACTATAACTAATAATGACTTTTCCAATCTTAAGGAAGAGAGGAATCCTAGTTAAGTATATTATAATTGTGAAAGTATGCGAGAATGTATGGATGTACGTTTGTTATTTTATCACGCAGAAACGGCTGGACTGATTCGGTGGTAATTTGGTATATGTACTAGATAGGTGATACCCTAGATTTACACATACGCTATACCTACTTTTTATCAAGAAACCACGCGAGCGAAGCGCTTGCAAACAATAAATGAAGACCACAGCCACAGACATACAAAGTAATTTTTTTATTTAATAGGTATTTTGCTTCACTCGGATCTTATCTAAGTACCTATATGTATAACTTTTAAGTAATCAGAGTCCTCACTCGGAAAACTCAATAACGAGGTAGGTAGCTCGATTTATTAATTAAAATATTTACGACGCAATAAGTTTTTATAAAATACCTTTGATTCATTAAAAATGAAGCAACGACTAAATTCCTAATGAGTAAAACGTTTAGCTGTCGAGGGTAGGCAAAGGTATGCAGGTCAACAGCCATTTTATCTTAATGACATTTCTTAAGTGTAACTTAAAAATAAATTTCATAAAATATTAGTTACCTATTCGTTATCGATGTTTATCGCCACACAACACCATAGAACACAATTATTATAAAAACACCAACACACACAAACAAAAAAACTATCGTAAAATTCAAGCAGCCATGTTGCTATAGACAATAGAGAAAAGAAAACGCACACAAAAATAAACAAAACTAAAACTTTTCGTATTTCGAACACTTTTTTGACAGTTGAGAAGTGACACGCGTTTTGGCGCGAAAACGCGAGACTACAAACGTCATTCCGTGAGCGCGGTGCGCGCCGAACTGAATTGAAAATCTTTGCTTCACAAACATCTACTAAATACCTTTCATTCTTAACAAACTATCGCTGTGTTTTATTACCATTGCGTGTTTTATCCCAACTTCCAATTATAACACCGAACAAAATCGTCAATGTAATCCGGTTTATTAAGAAAAATTGTAAAGAAATGTCATCTCGAATCAATCTTGATTGATTTAAAGACAAGCGTAGTACATTGCGTCAGTTTTAAGATTGATTTATGAGTTTCCCAGTTGTTAATCTGTAATGTAATTTGTTTTATAAACAACCTGAGTTGGTACCTTACTGTTAGGTAACCTGCTAGGAATTCTAAGTTAATACTTAATGTAAGTAAAATAAAAATAGAAACGTTTTTAGTTTTCAATTTCGTGAGTGAGTACCGTAAGCCCAATCCTTCCCCTCCCCATTCATCCATCATTAAATCTCCAAATTACTAAACCCCACAAGGTCGGAAACGCACTAGTAACTCCTCTGTTGTTGCGGGTGCCACGGGTGGCGCTAATTGCTTACCATCAGGTAATCCGTCTATTCGTTTCTGACCTATCACATAAAGAAAAACGTTTTTTTTAATATATTTAATAATTTGCTGCTAAATGTTTTATTGGTCATGTAGCCTCGATCGGTAACATTTTTAGGTCGTTCAAATTATTCAAAACAACGATCACACAAATAAGTGTTTCGAAAATAAGGGTGCCGATTCGAAACCTGGCAAGTACCAATGTGATTTTTTCCGAGTTATATGTACTTTCTATAATTATTTAGACACCGGTAGGTATTCCACTGACATACGGTAAAGGAAAACCATCGTGAGAAAGCCGAGACTAATCTATACCAATGTTATAAAGATGTAAGTTTGTATGTAGGGGGTAATCTTTGGAACCGCTGGTCGGATTGCCAAAATTCTTTCACTGATATATAGCTTCAATGTTCCTGAGTGCTATAGGCTATAAAACCTCACGCTACGATCAAATGGAGCCGAGCAGCGGGTGAAACCGCGCAAGAATTTATTTACGCGCTAGTAATTTATAATTATAAGTTTGAAATCACTAATCCGCCTCGGCCAAGCGTCTTGATTAATGCTCAAACCTTCTCCGTGTGAGAAGATGCTTTTGCCCAGCAGTGGGCACTTATGGGCTGATAACGTGATGTGACGTTACTCAACCGTCGCTTGTCCATCCACGGCGCCAGCACTCATCATTTTATAAAGGACCGGTAATTTGGTGACACATTTTTTATAACATTTAGACCTTTGCTTACCCTCTGAGAAATACCATGTAAGATGCCATGTTTTATGTTAATTACGAGACTGGTTTTCTTAAATGCGCCTGCGACCATCGACCACGCAAACAACGGGACTTCTTTAAATTATTTAAATATTTAAATTAGATAGTATAAAAATATACAATTATTTTATTAAAGAATTTAATATTTTAAATTATATTCAATTAGAATAGAATAATACCATTTATAATTTGCGGGTTAATAATAAATAATTTGTAATAAAAGAACAGAAATTATTTCACATTTTCTTTATTATTATTATTAATTTATTTTTTAATGGGACAGAGTTACATAGTTTTATTTTTATTTTTGAAAAAGTATACAACTATTTAAAGATTTAGGTATTTGATTCTCTTGTATTTTTTATTTTATTTTAAGTAATAATTTTATTAATAATAAGATATGCAATTTTGATTTTTTTTTTCATTTGATATGCACACAATTATATTTTTAAACGGGTTTAACTTAATTGTGTTAAAAATATGTAATTTATTTACAATAACAAAATAAAAAAATATTCAAAATAAATAATAATTGAGCAATTAGTATAAGTTTTAAGAAACTTATAAGATTTTTTATAACTTATAAGAGTAACTTTTTAAGTTACACAGTTAAGTTAAACCCGGCCTAAAAAGAGTTAATGATCAAAAATGTTTCCAAATATTTGTGCGTGGTAGAAACTAGCGCAGTATTCAAAATTACTTTTAATTTATGTATTTTTTTTTATTACGATTTCGAAAAATATAAAATGTACCGATATTCACAACGCTTCCTTACAAAAAACAAAAAAGAATAAGGATGGAATTACAAATCATCAATACTTCTTTTCTAAGTGTCAATAACGTTAAATAATATTATCATTTTTATTTGTACGAGACTATTCTCTTAATATCCTTTAATTAATACTCTCTCAACGGCTGATTTTTTAATGTTATCTGAGGAATAAAATTGTTGCTGTCACTGTCATAAATACAAACATTGTGACGCAACAGAATCAAAATTATTCCCTAGATAACTTTTATCTAACTATTAAAAATCAGCCCTATGTTAGCTAAAAATGTACTAAAACGAATTTGAAAATCGATCAATGAGTGTATTGTTATTTTGAAAAAGGTACTCTAAAAGAATTATTAATTGAAACAATTGGTATACGAATTAGACATCGTCATACTATTGTTGAAAAATATTCCTTTATTAATAGCAACGTAAGACTAATTTGAATTCTATTGTTTTACTTTTAGAGTAAACATTACAGAAAATTATATGTCTTTTGCTCAATTAATGTATTTTCAAGTAATAGACATACTTTAAAATTATAATACATAACTTCAGTTTTTATAAAAACCACTAAAAATTCAATAACACATTTTTTCTGTGAGGCAAAAATAATTTAATGACTTTTCTCGCCCAGGGTAAGACAAAAGGGAGTGTCAGGCTCTTACTGACTAAAAACCCCTTGTTCCTTCTCCTGCTTTAGTCTGAGGCCCTTTTTATTGCGCTAGCCCTGCAACCACGGCTGGCCAGTTACACACTTGTAACTCCTTGGTGTACTGGGGCCCAAGGATGGAGCTGATTGCTTACCGTATCAAGTAATCCGTCAGCTCATTTAGATACTGGCCTTACACATAAAAATGTTAACTTCTATTTTTTTATCGTTGTAATAATCGGTACATTTTCCAATGATTAAACTTACAATATTTCACTATTATCCATAATACTTTTATCTACAAACTTGTAACTAATATTTATAAGAGTATTCTAAATTTCTTTGGCGAAGCGTTTTTAGTTATATTTACAATATAGTAAAAATCGATTTTAATAAAAATAAAATTCTAGAAAATAAATTTTAAGTAAAAAATAAGCGATAAGTAATAAATTTGGCAACGTTTTGTTATGTATTCTATAATTAAACAGTCTTCAAAGAAAATAATACAAGTAACACTTAAAAATAAATTAATATTTTTACTAAGATTTTCTCTAAAACTATATTTTAGTCTCTTAGTTATTCCTTCAAATCCATTTCAATCAATATTTTATTTGAGCTATCGGAATGTTTCATTATAAAATAAAAGCAATAAATAAGAAAATTCTACTCAATTATTATCTTATTTTTCGTATCTTCAAATAACAAACATGTAATCAAATATTATATTCAAAAACTAAAATAATAATACTAAAAATTTATTTAATAAAAATATGCTAATGCGTACTTGCATGCGGTAATATCCTGGCTTACTTATTATAAATAAATAAAAAACATTTGTAAATAATCATCAAGATTCCAAATTCACATTTTACACATGCCTAGTAATAATATTTTTTAATTATTATAATTGACAATTTGGATGAAAAAATCCATAAAATAAGTACAACAATTTGTCTAAGTACCCAACCACAGATGGCTTCGCTTATACTCATGCCTTAATCAATTAAAATTGAACTAAAATCCTCAGCACTGTGAGTACATCACGAATAGTTAAATTTCAACTTTATGATGTAGTATTAAAGTCGAAAATCGTCTTTACAGACAATGTCCTCTCTGCCAAATTACCGCACACAAAAAATTAAGAAAAATAACCCAAAAATTATCTTTCCGTGTCCCTCCTTAGTAGCCTATTCACTCTAAATACTCTATTTCTAAAATTCTCAATCGGACCTCTTCGGAGTAACCTTGATACTGCAGCTCTGGTGACAGCTGCTTTGTAACTCTCTGGTGACAAGATGGCGGGCGATTCCCGCGTTCGCAACACGTCCGGCTCGTCTGACAACATGGCGTCTATGTCACCGTTAAACATGGCGACTGAATCCGATGACGTGAAGTTTGAATTCGGTGTGCAGAGTGGAATAGCGTTTGACCATTTTCTGTTTCTGTAAATTAATTTCAAATATTATGTTTAGTAAATTAAATCAGTGTTTTAATCAGAAAGAAAGCTGCAAAGCTATGAAATAAAATTTAATGCAGTAGCAGTATTTGTTCTTCTTCGTTGCTCTCTTTTGAACGCTTATTGCTAGTTCTCAATAGCTCTGATTGGCACCTAAGATTCTCAAAATAACACTTTAAGCAACTATTTGTTGCTGTATTTTGATTTTATTTGCATAAACATATAAATTGATGTAATGAAAATTTGTGCTGGAAGGCAAAACGTTCCTTAGACTTACTTCAAACATCGGAGCATGGGAGCTCCCTTCAGCCGATACCCAGGCTCGCAGGTAAATGTGATGGTCTCGCCGATCTTGTAGTAGAACTTCACAGAAGACATGCGGCCCGAGATCGTAGTGCCTGGGTAGGTACACGCTTGAGCACCTGCCAACCAAAAAATAATTTGTAAGATTTTCAGATTTGTAAATAGTGATCTGATTGCCAATGGAGGACTAATATTTAAGTGCGATCACCTTCGTCCACCGTAAGCGGGAGTCTGTGGATGGCGGGTTAAGGTAGATATCAAATAACCAAGTAGACCACCATAGACGGCTGGTCAGGGATCAACACACAACAGCCGATGTGTGGTCCGTGTTGCAAAGTGAAGAAGTAGAATGATGTAACCCAGCCCAGAACGGAGCAGGAGACGGAACGGGGAGGTTCTTGCCAGTATAAAGTGGTCTAATTTCTTGCCCGACCTAGGGCGGGTAAAGTTATTGGACGAACTTTCAGTAAAAGGGTAATTCACACCATTTGACTTACAATTTTTTACTTACTTCATGGTTATTATTCTTCATTGATAATCTCTTGATTATCAATCATCATGGCCAAAAGCCTATAAATAGTCAGCCTAACCGTAGAAGAATTGAGAGATAGCCACCGAGGTTCTCTCTAAAATGATTATGCCAAGTGAAGTTTAACGCTGTGGTTGAAGATATTCATAGGCTTTACTTAGCAATTGGGGGCCCATTGCTTCTCAATATATAGTATAAAGAGCGTAAGGCAAAAATTATAAGCAGAAAACTAAGACTTACAAGTTGGTGGTTTATCGCTCCACCGTCCACTGTCCTGGCAGACCAGTATCGGTCGTCCATGCAGCGTGTGCTCTGGGTTGCAGTGGAACTGCAGTACATCTCCAGCGCGGTATGGCGCTCGGCCTAGCACGTAGCCAGATGCTGGCGGCGGTAATGCTGGACAGGATACCTCTGGAAGAAGAGGGATGAAGAAGAGCATTACAAAGAGGACTATGATATGAAGTTAATAGTTATGACCGTTATGACCGTGCCATGTCAGTTTATTTATGAAAACATTATGTATGTTAGGAAAAACTTAAAAATATTCGATAAGGTGTCAGACAGACATAATTATCAAACTAGACATAGAGATAGATTATGTCAGCCATTATTTAGATTGGCAAAGGTACATAAGTCGTTCATGGGATTCTGTGTTAAATGTTATAACAAAATCCCAGGCGAAATACAACAATTAAATGAAAGAAATTTTAAATTAAGTGTAAAGAAAACTTTATGTAGAAAAGCATACTACACACTGAATGATTACATTGTAGATAAAGATGCTTGGAGACATGCTGGTCCTGCTCCACAGGATAGCAAATCTACAAAAAAAAATAACGTTCCAGTGGATTTTGCTTGAACGGGACTTCTTCATTTTAGTGAAATTGCATTACATTGTATAACTATAACTTGATAAATTTGTAAATGTGAGTGCCCTGTAACCTATTATAATTGGTTAGACTAGCAGAATGTCGGTCCTTATAACAGCTTGGAGTTGTCATGCTCACTGAAAGGTCACACTGGCGGTGGCATGGGCGCTGGATCGCTTCATTCCCTATAATATGGTTGAGTTGGGCGATGCTGGTGTACGTGTCATGCTCGTGAACGAGCGCCGTCAGTTGGGACTGGTCAGCTCCGGACTGTCTATTGTCCTTAAGGTTACTTTATTTTTATATTTGATTAAATATTAGTGTTACACTGTTCTCACATAATTGAACCAACTGTTTGTAAAAAGAATCTGTACGTGAAACTGATTTAAAAAGAGTAACCATGGAGTTTCTTGCTCGTTCTTCTCCATCGGAATCTACACTTTGGAACGAGCAAATAGCTTCACTAAGAGGACTGACCGACAGACTGACACTATATCTTCAAAATTTTTGTTTGACGTTCAAAAGTGCCTGTAAAGATCTAATTGGAATAAATGATTTTTGACTTTTGACTTGACTTTAATAACTAGATTATTGACGTCGAGAATTTGGTAACAGAACTGTGATCTCCAATCCATCTGCCAATGTGAAAATTACGGTACACCCCTCCTAGGCCCATAATCGTTACAATTTCCGGGAATTATGTGACTTTCACTAACCTCTACAAACAGGGAAAGGTTTGGCCCAATCAGCGGCTGGCAGGCAGACTGTCTCTGGTGCGCCTCGCAGTGCCCAACCAGGCGCACAGGAGAAGGCAGCGCGTCCACCTACTCCCCGCGACACCACGGCTACACGAGGTCTTCTCTCACCTTCACCCAGTGGCGTATCATGAATTACATCACCACACTCCACACCTGTAGATAATTATGATAAAAAATAAAAAAAACTACGTTTAAAAAAACCGACTTCAAAAACAAAAAAGTTTCAAATAATTAAAATAGATATTTTAATACCATTCTTACGTACGCGAAGCTAATACTTTTAATATTAATAATAAAACACTTTCAATTCTATGTGCTACCTATTTATAGGTTTTAAGTCGGTGCCAAGCCTAATTACATATAGTATAATATAATAAGCATGATACATGAGTACCTACACTAGCCGGGCGCGTGTGAATTTATTTGTTAGGATTTTAGAAATTTAGTAAGTACCGATTTTCTAACTTGATGGCGTTAGCGTAGAATCAGAAGTCTATATGGTTTCGTTACCGGCGAAATTATATATGTACAGCTTAGAAACATATTTGGGTGAATTATGAATTCTGAAAGTTTTCTCGTACTTGGTTGTACAAAGTAGTATTAGGTACCTTCGTTGTTGGTTGTGGAAATTTCGTCTTTTAGCAGTTAAATAGTCTTAATTCTCATTTATTTTTATTCTGTTTAGGGCTTGGCACCGACTTCAAACCTATAAATAGGTAGCACATAGAATTGAAAGTGTTTTATTATTAATATTAAAAGTATTAGCTTCGCGTACGTAAGAATGGTATTAAAATATCTATTTTAATTATTTGAAACTTTTTTGTTTTTGAAGTCGGTTTTTTTAAACGTAGTTTTTTTTATTTTTTTATTTTTAGTTTCTGTTACAAGTTCTTCTGTAAACAACAGTAACATTTTAAATATAAATTAACATACTGAATAGTATATATATTTTTTAAGTAGCTGTGTGTAGGCCTACGAAGGAGGCGCTCGATTAAAAAATATAATTCCCAAGAACTGGGAAAATTCTCATCATCATCATCATCATCACCACCAGCCTTTTTTAACATAAAAAATTAAGTCCAAACACGAGGTAGCTACTGTAAACCGTTGAGGAGTTCCCTAGACTATCAATGGTCTCCATCATCAGGTAAACTGCAGACCTTCAGTTGTTATAATCCATAGTGGTACAAAGTTTTCATCAATATAAATGAATTAAGTTCAAACACGAAGTAGTTACTGTAAACCGTTCAGGAGTTCCCTGAGCTGTCCTTCGTTCTCATCATCAGACCCTTAATGACAGTTACGACCTAGCCTGGTGCAAAGTGCTCGCCAATACGAGTCATTCAAGCCCAAACACAAGGCAACTACTCCAAATAGTCAAGGAGATCCCTCGACTGTCTTCCAGCTCCAACATCTGGTCGACTTCGACCTTCCTCAAGTTGTAGTGTTGTTAAAGGTCTACTTAAACATCATACAAAAAAACTACTCGCCCCTACAATTTTCGAAAGTTCCCCTCGGTTTCTCCAGGATTCCATCATCAGATCCTGACCTCATGACAATGGGACCAAATGGCAAGTATACCCTATCGAATAAAAAAAAAATTTTGCAAATCGGTCCAGGCGTCTTCGAGTAATCGGTGTACATACATAAAAAAAAAAAAAAAAAAAAAAATACTCGTCGAATTGAGAACCTCCTCCTTTTTTGAAGTCGGTTAAAAATTAACATTAGAAAAGAATAGCTACTCTCGCACGGTAAGACGCCCAAATAGAAATTACTTTCATTGATACAACTCGTCACATAAACTTAAAAAAATCCACGGCCTCGCAGAAAACCGGCGTGCTGCGGCGAGGATACCGGAGGCCCAATCCTCCCCTCCCCCAATCCCTCCTCAATCTCTAAATCACCAAATCCCTTCTCCCTAAAAGGTCGGCAACACACACGTAACTCCTCCGTTGCAGGTGTCCATTGGCGGCGCTGATTGCTTACCATTAGGTAATCCGCTCGTTGCGTATCTATTACATAAAAAAGTGACTGTTGTGGTCTATTTGAAATGAATAATTAGACTTTGACTTGAATTATTCTAGGTATACAAAGCTACTTACTCTCACATACTGGTAAAGGTGCACTCCAGTTGCCAGACGCGCGGCAGACAAGCGTATGCGCGCCGAGCAGCGCGTTTCCATTGGCACAGTGGAACCTGATTTCTGTGCCCAACCGAGTGCCTAGTCCACTGGCTACTAGCCCACGACGAATGGGAAGTGGAGGGCAATGGACATCTGAGGAAGAGAGGATCTATTTAGCCTTAAAGTTATAACAGAAAACTAGAAGTAGGTAGGTAGGTTACCATACGTGACGAATAACTTGTGAATTCACCAACTTTACAAATTTGGAGTTTTTGTATTAATAATTTTAATATCATCGTCATTATCATAAGCTGGAAGACGTCCACTGCTAAATAAGGGCCTACCCCTTAGAGGCGGGTTGCAGGGCGACAATTCCAATCGCCGTTAGGCCACTGATATATGGATTGAATGCTGCCGCTCATCCCTTGGTGTCTGATCGCAATTTACGAACGTATCCGGGATACGGAATGCTTAAAATAGTCTATGCAATTGCTCGAGAGTGCGAGAATAATAATAGTAGAGCTTTGGATCTATGATTTTAATAGTCCTTTTTATGTTTTCCACATAGATTTTTCACACAGATACGTAACGGATTTTCCTCTGTAAAGCTTCTAAGTTATCTTGCTTCATACCTTCAACAATAATCTCCACCTGATGGCTCTGTCTGGCGGGTGTCTCACACCGGTATATCCCGGAATCTTCCTTTACAGCGTTGATGATGCTCAGCCTGTACTCCAACGCGCTGTCCCTACCAGGGTCCGTCGTCCAGCCCTCTATGTACTTGCGGTCGGTTCTGTGATAGAATGAAATTGAGAAATATGTTTTCTAACCTTTTTCATTAGTATATTTAATTTAAAGGTATTGTGCTTCGGTTTGACGAAAGTTATACAACTGGTGCATAGAAAACCTTAGAGTTTAGTCATATGAGTGAGTGTTACCCATTAACCACCCCTCCTTCCTCCTCCAAAACGACGCAAACGCACTCATAACTTTCTGGTGTAGCGATTATCCATAGATGGCGCTGATTGCTCACCATCAGGTAATCCGTCTGCTCATTTGAGACAGGGTCCCATAAAAACTTACTCTGGATTATTGTGCGTGACATTCCACTTAGGGTTTCCAAATCTCCTCATCCATAAACATTCCATGTGGAGTACTGTTCCAGGGTAGACCAGCAGCTTCCCATCATTAGTTTGCGCGATTGGGCCTTGTGAGTGACGGAACAGGATTGTAGGTTTCTTCTCCACTGTAAATGAGATGGTCTTTTGTCAGATTTTGTCAGCAAACAAAGGGTTTTGCGTTAAATTTCTTAGACTGCCAAAGTCACATAAGGCTTTAAAAAAATGTAGGCTTTTACCATAGGATAGGATATTATAGGATCCATAATACGATTGTTTAAAAAGAAATATTTATTGTAGGTATATGTATACCTTTTATGATGTATATGGTAATTAATAGCACAACGTTATTTTTTAGTATAATGTTTGTATCAATATACCTATTATAGCATATTCTTTGCATAAGAACAAACTTTAATTAATATTTTATTAAACTCACTGGCATAATCCATTTGCTGGTTAAGTCCAACGCAAGTCGGTTTCACTCCGTCCCAGGACCCTCCAATACATTTGCGGGTTTGAGATCCAGACATAGCGTACTTGCCGATGTCAATGCACCTAAAACACAATTTTGGATAAACATCAGCTTTTACTTACACGAGTATCCTAATCTAATACAGGGTGTAAAAAGACACTTAACGAAGCCGAAAGCCACGTATTCTACCCATTTTTTGGATCATTTTTTTCTTTAAGACCATAGCTGGGACTCCACGGGTTCTCGGGATATTGAAGGTCAAAGATGCATTTTTAATTATTATTTTTTTGCGCAATCGAATTCTAAGTATTATTACAAAACTTTTTTCCAAACAAACATTACCTGAATTTTCGATTTTTCTAAATAAATTACGCATTTGAAGTTACGAACAGTAACATGTAAGTAATAAATAAATGCAGACCCGCACAAAAAACATCGTGCATCTCAGTGGGATTTTTATTTTTCAGAATTGTTTTGTTGTTGCGAAGTAAAACGTCGACCTGCGTACTTATCACAGCGTTTTCATGATAAGCTGTGAACCTACGCACACAATGACACGAAGCCCGTTTGCTTTACATTGCGCGCAATAAAATTATATTTTTTTTTTAATACCTAAAAATAAAAGTTGTTTCCCAGTGATAATTTTAGCGTAAAGCTACTTAGTTAGAACTGCAGTATGCGTAGTTAACAGCTTCGTTAAGTGTCTTTTTACACCCTGTATGTGTCCTAAGTACCTAATGTTTGTATTTCGATTACCAAGTTTAAGAAGATGTATAATTGTATATCATACAGGGATGTCTCAAATTATCCCAAGTACATAGCAAAGTATAACGTCGTGGTGGCCCGGAGGGTTCGAAACCTAGCAAGTACCAATGTGACTTCTTCCGAGTTATAAAAAATGAACTTTCTAGGATTCTTTAGACAGAAATACGGTAAAGGTAAACATGAAGAAACCTGGACTAATATTTTTCAATTATAAGTTTGAAATAGCCAAGCGTTGAGATCAATGCTTAAACCCTCTCTGCGTTAGAAGAGGCCTTTGCTTAGCAGTGAGCGCTTGTAGGCTGATGATGATGTGGCATAGCAATGAGCTTTCTCCAATTATTTGGGTCTCATCTCAGGTTTTGGTTTACATAATATACTTTATTAAAGGCACATGGACATACATGGTGCTTAATTAGCAACAAATCAATAAGTTGTTTTACCTGGATGTGATCATGGCTCCTGCAGGAAAGTCGACGACCTCAGTGATCTGCATATCGTTGTAGAAAGCCACAACGTTGGGCTCATCGTTCTCGAAGGTACAGCTGTTGTTGTTCATCAGTTCCTCGTTTTGAGCCTCTATTTCTTCTGCGGGTTATGAGAAAATATTGTATAGCAAGTTTAGGAATCATTTTTGGTCTACTGACTCTCCCAAACGATGCGAATCGAAGACGAGTCCCATTGTGAATTGAAACTAGTAGAACTTTCTTCAGTTAATTCACGTGAGTAAGTTGATATTTTTTTAATAATATTATGTCTGACGATAAACTGACCTAACCTAACCTTTCTGTCGTATTAAAATGATTGGGAGCTATAATGAAGGCCAACCACTTTTTAATAGACCTATCGAAAAGTAAAGTGTAACTAACAGGCCAAGTGAGGAGCAGTGCACCATTGGATATACATGTTTAATAACAAGAGATTGAACGAACATTATACTTACCACAATTAAAGCTCTTGCCGACCCAGTTACCCTGCTCACAAATCAGCTTCCAAGTCGTCTTCTCTCCCATGATAGATGCTATGCATTTAAATGTGATCTCGGTGCCATGGGGGTAACCTTCCACTCCTAAGGAGCTGTTCACTTCAGCCCCATCTCGGTATATCAGCGTACCCTGGACCCTTCAAGGAATTATTCCAAAATACTGAACCCCAAAACACAAACAAACACTTTTAGGCCACTGATGAACAAGAAAAATCTAGAAAACTTTAGGCAAAAGTTATAGAAGATAATGCTTCAGTAAAAAAGCATTTACTTGATAGAATTCAAAAATTCACCAGTGACCATAACAAACTAGATTCAGGTAAAACATTAAATATAAAAGGAAATTTAAAGAATAAACGGGAAATATAATCCGTTGATCATGCACTATAAGTCGAAATTTCCAAATAAGTAGCAACCAAACAGAAGCTTGGCCAAGACATAAGAAGCCAGGTTACGGCCATACAATTAGCGTTCTTATCAACATAGGTAGAAAGTATATTTTTCAACGTTAACTAAGCCCTGCCATCCGAGGATTTGTATACCATGATTGTGACGTTAACCCTTGAAAAAGTATGAAGATGTGATGTGATGGGAGTGACTAAGATCCTTAGTACTTGGTAGTAAGTCTCAAAATCTGTTGACAAATACTGCCAACTTCTATCTCCTTGCAAACTGTAGGCAGATCACCGCATAGAGAAAGCAGCGATTATTTATCTATTCACCAGGTAGGTACATCTAGAAGAGTAATTTGCCAGGGAATTAACAAAAAAATATAATGGAAATATAATTGACAGTGGTCATTTCTCCTCCACGGGAGAAGTAGAAGCTAAAGCACAGAAGTCGTTAAATTAAAAACGATATATAACCAATAAGCTGTGGTAAACCCGGATCATCTTAGTCAAACCCCCACCAGAAGTCAGGGAGGAATGTCAAAACATGAATTCAGAACTGATGAACATGACCATCAATGAGAAAGTGATGACGTGAGTTATTAAAGAAGCAAAATTTCGAACCTATAAGGCTCTCACCAGGGCTTCGCATCCCTGAACGCCTGGGTTCCCTTCAGTCTTCAGCGAGCAAATAAGAAACGCATATCTTTGCAAACACATTACTTCTTTTTTATCGCGACTCATTTCATCCTATTTGGATGATAGTGATTTGATTGAGGAAGCTGCAGTCAGTTGTGTTTTAGTCAATATTATTCAACCTTTCAGTCCTATTATTTCGAATGAGTGAAAAATAGACATCACTAATCGAGGTCTCGTCAAAGAAGTCACAAGCAGACTACATAAATCCACTAGTGAAAATTTGGTGTAAGCAAAACTTTTTTGTCAGAACCCGCAAAATAAGAATATTAGTCAAATTATCTTATTGACTACAGCTTCCTACAAGTTTTGCTTATCACAGTTTACAAGAGCGAACTTAATTAAAAACAAAAAATAAATAAACCAAATCAACTGCTCCAAAGCGCAAGGATCTAACATTTTGATTATTCTATTATGTACCATATTCCTTTTTATGATAGACTATTATTCTATAATAATGTATATAATGTTTGATCCTTCAACGTGATTTGGATGAGTGACAAAACCGAAAATCATTTAAAATACATGTCTGTATGCCATATTTTATTGATAATTAATTACTAGTACGTCTTCAATTTTGAATACCTTTATCATTTGAGAAAACTCACTATTATTTTATTCATAATCTGTTAAATACCCTTGCAGACTATAAGTAGATTATTGAGAAAGGCCAAGAATTGTGCCCTGAGGAACACCCATTGAATTTATGTTGATTGTTAAGTTAATGCCTTTTGATAGGATTTCTATAGGCTTCAAGTTGTTATTTCTTTGATATTTCTATCATCATTATACTGGTCGTCATGATGCTATAGTTTTTCATGAAATTGAACCTTATTAAGACGTAAAAAATAACCAATATGGCGTAACAAGACATGTTTAAACAAAAACCACAGAAGCTACAATGAAAGCGTTTGGTCAAAATAAACAAACTCGAATTTCACGTACTAGTGTCATGTTTGTAAATAATCGATTAGCTTTTTGTAAATCACATTCAGAGCTAATCACACATTACCTGACTTCTTGTGGATTCCTGCACAAAAAATTACAATAGTTTAAAACTTAACATCTGTTTCGTAGGGGTTTTTTAGTTAGAGTTTCATTAATCTGTTATTTTTGTTGTAAGAAAGCCTTGCTCGCTTTGTTGTTAAATATATGTATTACTGTCATCGCCTTCTTTAACATTTTGCTGTCCTATTCCTAATATCTTTTTAACACCTACATCGACGACTATCCTTAAGTCTATTACAACTTTATTCTGTACCTTTTTTCAACATTCTTGATAAATGAAAATTTATGACTTCTACCTACATTTACTACCTATTCATCTAGATAAGCCAGATTAGATTTTTGATTAGATACCTCTATAACTTTTTTCAGCTCCTTCCTTAGTTTTTCTTATTTCTCTATTTTATCGATAACATGTGCTTAGCTCTTCCTCGTCTATCTACTGTTTAAATGAAATAGTTTACCTGGCTGGTGGTCCGCAATCTGTGTTAGTAGTAGCATCGATGTCAGGTTCTAGTTCTGAAATGTCTTCTCTAACTATATCAGAACCGCTTTGGTATTCTGAGGTTGGACGTGGACGGGTTAAGTTAGCTGGAACAGAGATATAGATTGATGAGATTATTTAATTTTTGATAACTTTTGTTAACTATTTCAACAGGTGTGTTTTTTCTTTAATTGTTTAACGATTGATTTCTTAGACATTGTTCTGTATATTGCTAGCTATGGTAGCGCCACGACAATATATTCTTTGTATTTGATCCAACAGCAAAATTCATATGTTCCATGTCAAAAAGTAGTTTTAAAAATAAATCCAATAATTACCAAGCGGTCTGCAGAAATCATGGACGGTGGGCTGCAGTCTTCCTAAATGACAGTTCAGGGTGGCTGGTGGTGATCTGCCGGGTTCACAAGCTATGTTGACGGAGGACGCGTGAGCTACTGTCAGTCCAGCTCGGTATCCTGCTTCGTATGTAGCGCCGTGTAGTAATGGGAGTTCGCAAGGAGCTGTAATTTTTTTTAAGATATAAATGTAGGTAGAATAGTTAGTTTATTGAATGAATCTTATTTATATTAATTTTCCTATACGCAATGTAAACTGAAATTGAGCTGGATTTGTTCTGGGTAGGTTTAGACTATAAAAGCCACCAATGATACAGGATTTCTTTTTAAATACATTATCAAAATCGGTTCATAAATGATTAATACCTAAAATAAATGAATGTCTCCTTTCTAGAAGCCTATTAGAAAGTCTATATGTCGTAGATAGTAAAAGAACTAACCTGCTACACATTCGGGCATACTGGTCACTGCCCATTCTCCTAGCCAGCAACGAAGATTGGTTGGTCCTTGCACATTGTAACTGTAATAAAATCCACGACCCTATTAGTATCTTCATCAATTAAGTGCTTGATCCGAAATAGTTGACAACCCTAGTCTACTTACCCATATTCGCAGGAGAAGTGTACCACCTGTCCGTTAGGGACCGGATCAGTCTCATTAAGTTCCTTCTCATCTTGCAGGTTCGAGCCCAGGACCTGGCTGGCAGTCATCGGATGCGCAGAGTCAGCAGACATCGTGTAGATACCGTACTCCGTTGAGGGCACGTGGCAGGGAACTAGTCAATCAGGATGGCCTTACTTCAGGGAATTTTGAAATCTTTGTATTTCATTATAACATGCCTTTTAAATTGATAGAGGTGCTGGTAAAGATGAATAGAGAATGAACAAGCCTAAAAGTCGACCTGACTTAAACGAGAATTTATCACTATGGATTCTAAATGTTTGCCAATTAGTGAAGAAATAACTTCAAAGTATCAAATGATTTCACTTAAGAGCAAATTCGTGAGATAGACGATCCCATCAAAGAAAACAATGTTTATGGCAATTGTGTTTTGAGAAATTGTTATTGTCATCCTAAACACCATCTGAAGTTTAACTTACGAATTTCACATTTCGGTTTTTCAGGTTTCCACCTCCCTCGGACACATTTGGCTGTGGCATTCGTTTCCAAATTGAGTCCGTAACCTTTACCACATGCGACGCGAACTATTGTCCCTGAAATAAAAAGATATTCTTTTAAAAAAGTTTAAATCTTGAACATCATCATCAGGTTAACAACCTATCAAATGAATGTTGCCCAATTTAACGGTAGCTTCCCCATTTCATTGATATAGTTGGTTGACAGGCTACCAAGCTTTTATAGAAGTGCGATCCTTCAGAGCGACTAAAGTATTATCAAGCATTCTTTCTATGTTGGTCTCTAGAGTTGCGTCTGATGATAACCCTTTCTAATATATATCGCGTATTTGCCCACCTTTGCCTACATCGAGTGTACCATAACTGCATAAGCCTACCTTAATTCCATCTTTAAAAAAACGTCAAGTATATGTCTTATTTACCTGAACTAAACGTATTATTAGGATCCCGTCCGTATTTAACAATCTCGATATTAACATAAGGTTCACTCTCAATTGGTTCACAGGGACTTTTAGGGCGTCCCTTTTTTCCTTTTTCTGTGGTATTCTGTGGATTATTGCTTTCAATCACGTCTTTAGTTTCAGTTCCGTCTTGGTCTTCGCCTGTTGAAGCAGTTTGTTGTCTATTTCTACCACCCTTGCCTTCTCTGCCTCTGTAAAGACATACTCGTTTTTAGAATCGTATGTTTTAGGAGTTTTAATAGCTAGATGTATATACAAAGGGATTTATTGCTCTTAATTGATGTGTTTTGCTTGGTTGGGATGATCAAATTGAAGTGCAATAAAATTATGGACCAAAAACTACCACGTTTCCATTATCATTAAAAAAACACAATTAATGTTATTTCTGGTTTCTTGTTAAAAGTCGGAAAGGATTAATATGGTTTTTCGGACTTAGTTTGACTACAAGACATAGTGTACTTACGTTTTAGGAACAGTTGCAGTGGTTTGATTCAGTCTATCAGTTTTCCTACTTGTTCTTTTATCTCGTTTATCCAAAATATTATCAACCTCCGTCGAATTTGTTTTGTTGTATTGCAAAGGTACTATAGCCACTTCCTTATTTAAATCTTTATCTTCCAAGTTATGTTTTAAAGGTATTACCGTCATTTCTTTACTATCTTCACAATCAAGTTCACTTAGCTTAGTAGTCAAAGGTACTACTTTTAATAAATCAAGATTAATTTCATTATTCAAATTTACATTTTCTGTAGTTGGTTTTAGAGTCCAACTATTCGTATCATATTCTTCGTTATTAATTCCTCGTTTGATCCTTACCTTAGTCGTAATTTCTGGTGGGACTTTTGTTACAGTATCAACCTTATTTTCATCACTTTCTAGTTCTAAATCCATTACTTTCTTCGTACTATCTAATTCTAAATCGTCTTCTTCATCTTGATGACTATCTGAATCCTTTTGACTTTCCTCAGATATTTTTAGCAAAAATCTTTTACGTCGTTTATCAACATATCGTTCGAAATATTCATGTTTGAGTTTGTTTATATTATCAGCATTGCTGTCGGTACTATGTTCATCAAACATTCCTCCTTTGAGTACCGTTGCATGAGAGAGTTCATCGCCTCCTTCTTCAGAATCTTCATACTCTGAGGCATCTCCATGTTGTACTACATCGTCTTCTTCTGGTTCGTAAACAGGTTGATATGAATACAACCTGTGTCCGATAGGCTCTCCATGAATGTTATAAATAGTGTAGACAGCTGTAGGGAAGTTTTCATCATTATTTTCAATACTGGTGGGTGTTTCCATATCACCATCGAAATCGAATTTCTTCATGATTTTGAAGTTGGCGTGTCTCAGAGTTGGTTTTGAGGTACCATGGTTATATTTATCGTAAAGTTGGTCGACGTATTGTTGTGAGGGGTCTGTTTGGCGATGTAGGTTGTTGTAATACTGTCGTAGAAATGTTGATCTTCTGTGACGAATTTCAGGATCTGGAATGGATCGGCGTCGTCGGCTCCATCGGATTCGTGGATGCTGGTAAAGTGTGCACCTGGAAGTAAAAAAATTAGGAGATAAATCGTGGATCAAAATGTTGCATTTTATTTTAGTATATTTATCTTACTTAGGCAGTTCTCTCGGACTCCAATGACCTCCAACACACGTGGCTCCTGGTGGCCCTTCAGATAGAACATATCCCTTCTCACATTCATACATTATCTGTTTATTGTTCACAACCTGAAAAAATAACGTTTTAGTAAAATGTGCCTAAAAGCGAACACATAAAATGACCAATCATGAATCAAATACCTTTTTGACGTAAGGTCGATAGTCGTATAAACCCATGTTACCGACAAGCAGCACTTTGCCGTTTTCTATGTAGCCGGGGAATGGGCAAAATACTGGAATTAAACAATAAGTTGATGTAAGACTTTTTTAAATCTATAATTGTGCAGAAAAGAAAGAGAAGAATAATTAAAAACTTTAATTTCAGCGTTAACTACACGAGTTAATTAAACAAGTGAAGTAAATAGTTGAATCGTACATAAGTTATAGCTTCAAGAACACGCTCAAGTTGCTGCTAAGATAAAACTATCAGGCGCACGAAAAATACTAGTCCAATAATTACTTGCTTTCTAGCTGATTACTAAGATTTAAACAGTTTGACTAAACGAGGTGTGATGTTTTTTGGTTATCTTATTCAATTAGGTCGATAGAAACGTCTTCATATTTTTAATAGGGGCATATACCTATAAACGTCTTTATGTTAACATACCTTCTTCACATTTAGGTGTGTCTCCACTCCAAACTCCAAAAGAACAGACTACAATAGGATTCCCCTTCAGTTCGAAGCCATCCTTACATCGGAATCTAGCTTTCATGCCGTGCTCTGTTTTGGGAGCTATCACCATTCCGTTTCTCGGGAACTTTGGCATTTTCTTACATCTGCCGAAAAAGACATAGGTATTATTAATTATTGCCATAAAAGAATCATTAGTATAGTCAATATGTAAACTAGTCCATTATCAACGCGTTACTACTGGATTATGGATCTCCTGTACATGAAAAGTTTTGCGATAATCTTCGGTTCGGCAGGCAGGTTGATAAAAATATTAAGGTTTATAATAGAACGTTAAATTTGGAGTACTTAAGCAGTTCTGTGGCTCCGTCATACATTAGCCGAAAGCATATGAATGGTGGGAAATGGGTGATGAATGAAATGGGTTGGTAAAATATTGATGTTTACAATAGAACGTTAAAGGAGTACTTCAGCAATTGTTCGGCTCTGTCGTACATTAGCCGAAAGAATATGTGTGGTGGGTAATGCTTTTTGTATAAATTGTACTTCATGAATATCAAAATGTTCCTACCTGGCTGGTTGACACCTCGGGATCTGTGTCCAGGTTCCATTGTTACAAGTCACAGCTGCATTACTTGAGGGAAACTCATAGTTCTTCTCGCAATCTACGACAATTATTTCACCTGAAACACAAGAAGACAATATCAAGGTTACCCACGCGGTAAATCTGTTTGTATGATCCACCTTGTGCTGGGTTTGGGCGTAATGTTTATGCGAAATTTTATGTAAACGCAGTCACGACACAGAAGAAAATCCTGGTGTACTCCTGGAGCGTCCTGGGCAACGTTTAAAAAAAAAATTTGCTATACAATTAACGTACCGTGTTGCACCATAGTAGAGCTGCCTACAATCTGCGTGTTGCCCTCATGGGTGCTGTTATCCCCTGTCTTATTCTCCACCAATACCACTCGGCCTTGAGAGACGTGGGGCACCACGCACGGCGCTGGAATATGTACCAAAAACAATTGTGTTAGAACTCGTATTTCTTCTTCAATAAAATTATATTCTTCTGCTATTAAAGGGATTATCAGGACTTTTATTATTATAATTCGAATTTCTATTTTGGAATAAAAATTCTGATCCGAGAAACCAAAATCATGCTGCCGATTTCCATATTCGATTTTAACGGTCAATTTTTTCACTGACAGTTAATCCAAAATAGAGCTAATGCTAAAAATGGACTTAAATATTTTTTGGATCGAGACTGGTTCTTGAGATCAGGAGATAAACGTTTTAGGATATCGTCATCACTTACCCAAACACATAGGCAACGGATGACTCCAAGTACCATCATTCTGGCAGATGGCAGATCCATTACCCTCCATCTTCATACCATCCTGGCATCTGAAGATTATGGAGGCACCCAATCCAGTTCCAGAAGAAATATTTTCCAACCAACCGTTCCATAGCTGACCAGGATGACCGCAGTTGATCTCTGGAATCATTAATAAAGGAGAAAAGTAAGCAATAACTTAGAGATTACTAGATGGAGTTACGTGATTGAAAATGCTGAAGCTGTTGTGATCAGCGTGGCCGTGGAAGAGAATGCAAAGGGTGATTTGTGATATGCAGTGGTAATGCTGTTCTTTGTGGTTGAATTTTAGGGTACGAATTCAAGTTGATTGCTGAATATAAATGTGAGAGACGAGTATTTAAGTTAAATATGCGTAGCTTTACCTTTACACATTGGCTGTCCACCAGACCATTTCTTGTCAGCGCCACATCGCCTAGTCGCGTCTCCCACAAGCCGGTATCCATACTTGCATTCGTATGACACGACCGAATTGTATGCGCAAGATGTGTACACTGCTTTGCCGTGCCGCGGCGCTTCAGGCGGCGGACACTGCACCTGCGTTACCACTAGATGGCGACACGTGTCGCTTTAACAATACCCGATCAAACATAGATGGCGTTGTTACCAATTTCAACCATGCAATAACATGCAAAAATAAAACAAGAATAATTTTTGTTTTATATTTATTTCACTACAGCGTTTAAAGATAGAAATTTACAGTAAACATCGAATACTACTAACATTGCTATATCATCTAATAGTCAATTAGGCAGTTAACGACAATTTTTATCATGGCCACAGAAAGAAACAACTTTTGAAGTTGCGGAAAACGATAGTTTCATAGAATTTGAAGGTGACAACGTTTCTATAATAACATTACTTCTGATATACTACGTAATGCAATGGATGCTCAAACTGTCCCGGCATCTCCTTCTAAGCAGCATTAAAAGGAGAAAAAACAATCAGAAATATCCATTTTTTGGCAAATTTCAGAGGAATTCCCACTTTTTACAAAACATCCCTCCCAAAACATAAATAAAAGAACCTAGTATTTATAATAGAAAATTTGAAAATAATATCTTAAATCCCAATAAAGAATCCAACACCAATATAACATTGAAAACCAACGAATAAAAGTGGGATTTCCATAAATTGCGTCATGACAATGAAATTGCTCCGATGATAGCCATGATAATCATTTGTTTAAGCGTCATGCGATCTATTACCGATGTAATATGTAGGTTAGAATTGAGATCCGGTACCATGCAACATTCCAAAATGAAGGACAACACTGAAATCGGCAACTACATTGTCACGAAGCAAGACCACTCGCAGATAATATTGAAAATTATTTACATCTTCATGATGAGCCTCTTCGGTTCTAGAACCTTCTGCTGTTATCATATCATTATCTTCTACTCCATTATATTAAGTACTATATTTAACTTAAAGTTTCTTAGGAATCTTATCAATCGTTAAGTAATTAAAATCAGCCTCCTTTGTCACTTGTTATTTGCTAAGTTTTATTGATTTAACTAATAATGAAATAGATTTATAATCTTAAGAATTAAAGGCATCTTTCTTTTTTCTACCCTTTCCATTTATTTCTATGATCGACGTTAAATTCTTAAATAGATTTGACTGAGTGTCAGCATTTTTCGTGGACCGACTCCTTTCAAAGCTGCTACCAAAATTTCCCAAAAGCGACTCATCATGAAGACGCCTTCAAAATATCCAAATTAAGATCTACTTACGGACGCAGGTAGGAAGCTCTTTGGGAGCCCAAGCCCCGTCAGCCTGGCAATATCTTTCAGCTTTGCCGACGAGCTCGAAGCCTTGCCCGCATTGGACGACAGCTCGACAGCCGAAGGTATGACAGTCTGCGGTCACCCAGCCGTGGGGAACGTCGCCTGGTTCACCGCAGGATCGAGCTGGAAAGCAGATTTTCTTGATCAAAAATGGAACCAAATTATCGTTTAATGATTCTGAGAGCCGAAATATTTTGCATCTTTATGATGGTAAAAATAAATTTAAATGTCGTTTATACGGTTTTTTTACTAAGCTATATTTTATTAGTTTGTTGTTGATGTTACATCTACTTGATTTGGTTTAGCTTTGTTGGTTTGGTTTTGGTAAGTCAAATCGTGGCTTATCTAAAACTGAATGTCAGTTTTTAACACGCATTGACTGCGATCCCTTGCGACACACCATGCGAATACACTTTATCAAGTTTTTATAGTTTATGGCTAGACGTAGTTCCTCATGCCTATCTTTGTTAGAATTGTGTATAAAAATGACTATCATAGACTTCAAAATACAGATATCACGGTACTTACGTTCGCAACTAATATCAGGTCCATACCAAGAAGCTTGACCATCGATAGCCAGGCACTTGGCTCTGGGGAATCCATTGGTGACATAGCCAGTGTGGCAATTGTATTGTACGGTGGCATCAAGGTCGAAAGTCGCTTGTTCTGGGAGCGCTGAGTGACGAGCATGTTCTATTGTAGGCGGCTGGAGGCAGTAGACTGCAAAACCAAAAAAATAAGGACATTGTCATGTAAGAATATCAAGATATTCATAAAAACTTAGTATGGGAGAGCCAAACTTTAGAACGAATGGGTCGGCTTAACCGGAGCGATACCAAGACCTCACAGAAAACCAGCACGAAACAACACAGCGTTGTGTTTCGCCGTGTGAGTGAGGTTACCGGAGGCCCAATCCTTATCCTTGCCAATACCTAAATCTCCAAAACCCTAAACCCTAAAAGGCCGGCAATACACTCGTTATTTCTCCACTGTTGCTAGTTGCGAGTGTTCATGGATGACGCTCACTGCTTACCATCGGGTAATGATAAGTTTCTTTAATGGATTTCCAACTGTGTCGGTAAGTTAAGTTAAGTTTGAAAATCGACTCCAGGATACGCATTCAATAAATGTTACTTAACAAAAGTCGTTCTAAATTTTACCTCCGACGTTAATTCTAATTTCGAAATGAAATATTTGAAATTACATTTCAGACAAAAGCTATTGATTTAGTGTCAATAATACTTGTCCATGTAAATCCAATAAAATATTCATTGGCATTTCTATTTCCATAGAAGCCAGACTTGCTTTGATATAAATGTTTCATGATATCCCTTCTATTGATCTCTATTTATATTGTGCGAAGTTTAGTCTATTATTTTATCTAGTAATACTAAATTGTTTTTTATGAGATAGAGGGGCAAACGATTTTTTTTATACATAAACCTCACAGATTTGAAACAATAAGCTTCTTTTCCAGCTCCAGGCCGAGGCTGCGGCAACTTATTGCGCTTACCCCGAAACCCTGGCTAATCATCGGCCCTGTTTGGCCCCGTCTGTGGGGGTTTACTAGCTCTTAGAGGCGCGTGCGGAACGTTAATCGCGGCACGCCTGGGTTTAGTTCTCGTCGGTCGGCGAGTTACTCTTGCTCATAGTCCGCAGCCCCGCCTTTATATTAAGCAATAAAATAGATACGTACTGTTCTCCTTGCAGGCTGGTGGCTGGCCAGCCCATTTACCATCCGCCTGACAACTCCTGCTCTGCAGGCCAACCACGTGGTATCCGTGGGGACAAGAGTACACCGCTCTGGTGATGATAAAGAATTAAAAATTAGGTAAGGTCTATTGGTGATTTTCAAAAAGTTTTTGAGTAATAAAAACTGATAGAATATATGGGACAGAATTGATACGAAATATCAATTGAGCGCCTTTTTTGCCGCAAAGTGGTGCATATGAAATTATTACTAAGAGCTCCCGTTAAGGCTTGAAACTAGTCAGTCAGTTTACCTCGTTAAACCGTAATAGGTCATAAAATTCAAAATAATTTATTTCAACTAAACCATAAATAAGTTGAACTTTCGAAACATTAAAACGGAATGGAATAATAATAGTCTGTCAATCTATTCGTCAGTGAAGCTAGGTGCTCGTTCCAAAGTGTAGATTCGAATGGAGAAGAACGAGAAAGAAACTCCATCGTTACTCTTTTTTTTAATATACGTTTTACAAGTACACCAATACATTATTTAGTACACATTTTTGTTTCCATAAGTGAAAACAATGCCAGAGGACCAAGTAGTTAAAAATTGCAATATGGTTTCGAAAGTTATAAATGTAGATATGAAAAACATACTTATCGCCAAATAGCCTTCCTGTAAGTGTGACCTTCCCGATTTCAGGCTGCGTCAGTTCAGGACATTCACGATCTGAAACAAATAGAAATACAGGTTAATAAAAGTTTACAGGGCATGTGAAAATAGTGGTGGTATACTGGTGTTGTGGTGGCCCTGAGGTTAAAGCGCTTCACCCACGCGAGGATTCAAAACCTGGCAAGTGCCAATGTGACTTTTTCCAAGTAACATGTACTTTCTATGATTATTTAGTTAGACCATAAGGACTAGGTGAAGGAAAACATCGTGCGAAAACCTGGACTTATAATTCCTAATTATAAGTTGGACATCGCCAATTCGCCTTGAGCAAGCGTGGTGGTTAATGCTCAAATTTTCTCCGTGTGAGAAGAGGCCTTTGCTCAGCAGTGGGCACTTATAGGCTGATAATGTGATGTTTGATGTGAAAATAAAGTCAATAAAAGTGGAGTACTTACTACTATATTATTAACCTATTATTAATTTTAAAACGACAGTAACTCCTACTTAAGACATCACAATGTATCTTTCTAATATACATTGCCTTTTTACCATTAACCAAAATTGACATGTTAACGTAGGCTCAACCCTAATCCCCATCCCCAATTTCCCAATCGTCAAATCCATAGCCTGCAAAAGGCTATATAAAGTTGCAACTATTCTGGTGGTGGGTGGCGCTTTTCCGTCTGAGGTATAAAAGAAAATCGCTTTCTCTGTCCTTATGTGCGCGTTAATCTTTGAACTACGATGCGGTTTTAAATAGAAAGAGTGATAAAAGAGGAAGGTTTATATGTATAATAACATCTATTAAATAATGGAGAAATTTTGTATCAGCATTTCATCCGTGCGAAGCCAAGGCAGGTCGCTAGTCCCATATAAAAACAAACCACTTAGTATTACTAGATAAAATAATAGACCAAACTTCGCACAATATAAATAGAGATCAGTAGAAGGGATATCATGAAACAGTTATATCAAAGCAAGTCTGGCTTCTATGGAAATGAATATTTTATTGCATTTACATGGACAAGTATTATTGACACTAAATCAATAGCTTTTGTCTGAAATGTAATTTCAAATATTTCATTTTGAAATTAGAATTAACTTCTGAGGTAACATTTAAAACTAATATTGAATGTGCTATCCTGTAGTAGGTTTTCAACCTTAATAGTTGCCAATACAGTTTGAAATCTATGAAAGTGACTAAACACTTATTTTTTATGTGATACGGGGGCCAACGAGCCACCCATGAACACCCGTAACACTAAAGAAGTTGCAAGTACGTTGCCGACCTTTAGGGGATAAAATGTTTTTGTCAAATCAAATCAAATCAAATCAAATTCTTTATTTCAAATAGACCAAAAAAGGCACTTTTGAACGTCAAGCAAAAAAGATATCATAAGATTTAACTTTATGTGTCAGTCTGTCCGTCTGTCCTCTAGTGAAGCTATTTGCTCGTTCCAAAGTGTAGATTCCTATGGAGAAGAACGAGCAAGAAACTCCATGGTTACTCTTTTTCAATAACTTTTTACAATGCATTGTTACATAATTTAGATAGTTTCATTATGTGAGAACAGTGTAACACTGTGTATTTAGAGATAGGGAAAGGTTTCCAGTAACCTTAATGACACGGCGAAACACTACGCTGTGGTTATTTCACGCCGGTTTTGTCTGTCGAACAGACCCGTTAATGCCGAAGCATGGTTCTCCGACATTTGAAATTGTAATAGAAAAAGTCCAAAAATAGAACAATTTAATGTTGATACGGAACCACTTGGTACCCATTATAATAATAATTATGTAGAGATACAAGCTGCACATACAACTATCCCTTTTCATCTACATGAGACTTTCAACCGAATTGTAAAAGTATAAGCCTGAATATACATTAAACAAAGAATAAACACCAGCATATCATACTACCTCAATATCGAAAAATGATTTAAACAATTATGGTCTTAATCACTAATAATAATAAAGTAGAAAATGAATTTTGCAGAATGTACATTAAAAAAGGAATAAAAACCAGCATATTATCAAGAAGATACCTCACTTCAAAAAAATAATTTAAAGAATTATGGACTTAATAACTAAGTATGCCAAGGTAGAAAATGTATTTTGCTAATAAAGGGTAGCTTGATCTGATTTTGGCTGAATAAGAACAATCTACAAATTTATATTAATTGTACATACTAATTTACTAACAACAATTATTTACTTTAATCTCGGCAAACTCGCGTATAATTTGCTCGGATTTGCTTTCTGTTTGATAACTAATTAATTTATTTTTGGCAAACGCTACGCCGTATTGAATCGTTGCTTGTTGTGTTGGCATAAATATCCTACTAATATTATAAACTCGCAATTCTGTACATATGTTTTTTTTAATGCGAGTGCTCGGCAATTACCTGATGGTAAGCAATCGGCGCCGCCCATGGACACCCGCAACAGCAGAGGACTTACGAGTGCGTTGCCGGCCTTTTGGGGATATGGGTTTCGGATATCTCAGATGGAAAGGGGTGGGGAGAGGGGTGGATTGCACCTCCGGTAACCTCAATCACACGGCGAAACGCAACGCTGTGGTTTCACGCCGGTATTCTGTGAGGTCGAGGTATCACTCCGGTCGAGGCGACCCATTCGTGTCGAAGCATAGCTCTCCCACACTTAGACGAATGGACGTTTGTTACTCTTTTACTGAGGAACTACGTTCAATAATTCAGTTCAGTATCAGGCTATGAATGAAAATTGGCACAAAGATAGATTATAGTCTGAAATGACATAGGCATTTTGTAGTACTCGAGGCGAAGCCGCTGGTAATCGCTACACTTAAATTGACAGCAACATTTTGATGGATAAAGTATAAGATGACGTTAAAAGTGGCATTCTAAAATTTAATTTCTCCGTCACTTCGACGCTCACTACGCACTCGAACACGGTTCAAATTCAAACAAATTTTATAGAATCGACGTGCAGTTCGTCAATTGGCTTTTTTCAAGGTGAAAACGTCAGAACTATTGCTAAAAACTATCAGGAACTGTAGAACTAAGCTGCATCAGGCTGCATCCGACAAGAACTGGCATTTATTTCTGTGTTTTGCTGTCAAATGATCTGCTACGGGAAGTTAGCAGATCATTTCGGCAATCGGCTTTTTTCAAGGTAAAAACGTTAGAACTATTGCTAAAAACTATCAGGAAGTGTAGAACTCAGCTGCATGCGAAAAGAACTCTCTTTTATTTTTGATCTGCTGTACAATGAAAAGCTAGGTTCACACACACAATATTTCTCGCCTTGGGTGAGGCGAGGGATAGTTATAGTCGTTTAAAAGGCATTTCTTACTTAAAAACTTGGAGGGCAAGAAGTTTTTTTTGTCTAAATTTTATGGGTTTTTATGGACTCTTACTGACTAAAATCCACTCCGTTCCTTTCTTCCACCGCGGTACATTATTACGCTTGCACCCTATGTTCCAAGCAGTCTGCTACCCGATCACTGAAATCAAAGGCCTATAGTATTGTAATCAGCTTCCAATTGTAAGGGAAAACAATAGAATGATAACAACGCCGGATAACGCCCCCCCCACCCTTAATGGACGCCTCCCAATATGTTTATTCAGTAAATTGTCGGCTTTGTTCCTAATCTAGATCAAATTAAAAGGATAAATGGTTCTGAAAGTATTTCGATTGTAAAATGGTTTCTATGTTTTGAAGCTTAGAGTCGGTTTTAGGTGGTTTATGGATATTCTCCGTGTAAGTAGATTGATTTGTTTTACAAAGGTTTTGTGTGTATGTGTGTGTGTCTATCTAATGTTGATATTGTAAGATTTATGTTCGTTGGTTCTCAGTGTGTGTGTTTTCGAAAATTTCATTAATAGGTTTGTTAATGAAGCATAATAAAATTATTAACATCTACATATTTATCAAAAACGAAACCTTTCCAAGTTGATTTAGACACCAATGACATACGGTGAAGGTAAATATCGTGAGTAAACCTAGACTTGTAATTTCTAATAATAAGTTTGGCATCGCCTTCAGCGACCGTTGTGATTAATTCTCAAACCTTCTCCGTGTAAGAAGAAGCCTTTTGCTCAGCAGTGGAAACTTATAGGCTGATGATAATTATTAATGTTGAATATAAAAATTGATCGCTCAATGTGTTTGGTAAGCTCATAACTCAACAACGCCTGGACCAATTCGGGTGATTCTTTGTTTATCGTGATTGTAATTTTCAAGAGGAAGCTCTGTATGTATTAATATTTTTGAAAAGTAGAGTAGAAAATGGCAGTAGAAAACATCGTAAGTAAAACTGAACTTATAATTTCTAATGCGTGGTGATTGACGCTTTTTATTGTGAGGGGAAAATCATCAAATGGCTTCTCCCGCCAAGGACGGGTGGGAGGGAGTGTCAGACTCTTACTGACTAAACCCCTAACCGTTCCTTCTCCTACTGTAAGCCGAGGCCGCGGTGCCTCATTGCGCTTGTCCTGCAACCCCGGTGTTGATTGATGCTTAAACAGCGTTTAGTAACCAGTGGACACTTATAGGCTGGTGATAACTTATCAGGAGATGTCAAGTCCCTAAGCTATTATCAATTGAAACTTTTGTTATCGTCCTGAATGTATAGACAAAATTACAACGGCATTTTTAATTGAAAAGGCGAACACGACACCCGATGTACCTACACAGAGTGCTTTAATAGTTACTCAACAAAGTCCTTTGAAATTATTTTGCAGAACAAAATCTTTAAGGATTAGATTATAAGTAATTACATATTAATTTAGTAAAAGGAAGCAATAATTAAATGACTCCGATTACGATGGTTTGTCATTACATAAAGAAATTTAGGTGCTTGTACTTTTAACAACCTTTTTTATAGTCAGTTTTGATAACATTTTTTTAAAATCGACTATGGGTGTGCAGAGCTATATGTCTTCATTACATAGAATTAAACAAAGTCGCTTCATTTGTCCCTATATCCCTGTGTATGCTTAAATCTTCAAGACTAAGCAACGAATTTTGTTGCGGCTCGTTTCAATAAAATAAAGAAGCTGGCAGCAGTCACAGAA